GAACGCAGAGGCCCCAGAAAGTGGAGCAGCACAATAGCTTTGATGTTGTGATGTCTGCAGGGTGGTGTAAGAGCTGCTGTGTGGACGGAGAGTCGCATACAAGCGGCCCTCTGACAGCACAGATTAGTGTTACAGACAAGAACAGGAAAGATGCGTGCAAACACTCACAGCTACACACACACTCTGACAGGAGTCACACAGACAGTAGCACACATAAGAGAACGGAGTGACAGTAATACCGTTTTCTGCATTCTTTTACAACTAAAGGCTTTGAACTGACTCAGAGCTTGGTTTCTTGCTAACTTCATTCAATTTGTGAATGAAAACTGTCCAGAAACTGAATTTGAAATTGTGCCTACTTCTTTGGCAATTCATCAGCAGAAGAGACTTTAAAAGTGCTAATTAAGTTTCATACTTGAGGGTATTTCTTTTGTAGATTTCCAACCATATTTCACAACCCTTTGCTATGCCCCAGGTTCAAATAGCATGGTTTACTATAGTAACCCGGGTGCAAATAGCATGGTTCACTATAGTCAGCTGGGTGCAAATAGCATCTGCCTTAATAATGCCTGTTTCCCGTTTTCGATAAACCCATCGGTAACTTCCTTGTGACGCCTTAAGGAAGTTTCTTTAAAAAAAAGGTACACTAACATCTAATTGGACTGAAGAATGAGCTAATTGGATTTTAGTGCCATAAGTCAAGAAGTCTTATTCTATTTATGACAAGTTTACACAGACAAAAAGAGATGTCATTTTCTACAGACATGAATGTTATTTGCAACTTCTCTGGTTGTTTGGGGCATACCTCTGTGAGGCGGTAATTCTAGATCAGCGTGTTTCCTCTGAGTCAAAAGCGTATCCCTCTCCTCTGACAGCCCATGGTTGTGCTGTTCATCTTGTATCAGAGAAGCGACGCTGTAGCAGAGTACGTTTATTTTAGGCAGACAGGAAGTGTGGCACCAGAAATAGAGAGGGGAACGTAACGCTTTGACGTTATGAAGCTGTGACAGCTCCAGGTGCGTCTGCGAGCAGACTCCTCATCAGTGATGAAGGAATTGCTAATCACTTGTGAAATGCTTTCATTTGACCTGTGTACTGCAGACTTTAGGGAGATGTGGAAAAAAGGTGTTAAAGAGAAAAAACAGGGATGGTGGGAGTTTGGGCAAAACAGGCATCCCATTAACCCTGCAATGACCTGAGACTCAAAGGAGAACAGCTTAATGGGGCTGCTGTGTGTTTACTGTGTGTGTGTGTGTGTGTGTGTGTGTGTGTGTGTGTGCGTGTGCGCGTGTGCGCGCGTGCGCGCGTGCGTGCGTGCGTGCGTGTGTGCGTGCGTGTGTGTTTTTAAAGAGGCAGATGAAAAAGAAAAATGGGATGCATTTGAGCCATTATTCATTTCACCCCGCAAACATGCAGCAGTATGAATGCATAATTCATGTGTTTATCATTACAGACCCTCATTAATTTGACCCTAGACGGACACATTGACCTATTAACTTAAAGGGTTTGATCCTGAGAAGGTAATGCAAAACATAACATGATGTTTTAATATTAATATTTAGTGTTAGTGTAATTTAAGCTACAAATCAGAGTGCTCAGAGAACTCTGGGATGCTTGTTTAAAGGGTTGGACTTTATGCATGTGCTGCAGCCATCATTATCATGCATTTCTCTCAGTGTTTGTGTTGCAGTCATCTCTGTTTGCATTTTCAAGGCTATGTCGCGACGTTAATTCGGAAGTGATTCAGAAAGAAAATTAGATATTGAAGCTGTATTTCATTGTAACACTTTCCTTGTAAAGAAAAAAGATAAGAGCGAAATTTGTCTTCATTCAAAATAGATTTTTTCATAAGCACTCTACAAGAACCTTTTATTTTTACTTCCCGTTCTGTGATTTGACAATTTCTTTTGGAGACGATTCCTGAGCAGCTCTCTGAGATTTCTCTGTCTGTCCCTGTCAGCTCGAATTTGTTGTAGCGCCAACACGAACAGGCCATGGTGGAGGGTGGCATTTAGAGTGTGTGTCTGTGTGTGTTAGTAGATATGTCTGTGTGTGTGTCGCTGTCAAGGTACATTCAGAAGCATCTGATTTATTTATGCCCTGCGCAGCAATTGTTAATTTTTCAAGGGTTGTGACGTGGAGCGATCAACACTATGTTTCTGCATTTGTGTGGGTTTCTATGTGTATGTGAATGCGTCCCATAACTGTCAGTCAAAAGACTTGTTTTCTTGTTGCCTCAGCTCCTTCATGGGTCCTCTCCCTCTCAGTCTTTTTCTCTTCCCTCCTCACCACTCCATCTCCTTCTCCCTGTCTCCTCCATTTTTACAGCTCAAATCTCTTTTAGCACAAGAAGCTCATTTATTCATGCTCCTGGGCCTCCGATGCCTTTTTCAGCAAGTTGCCAAGAACTCCTTTTTAAAAATTAATGGAGACGACAAGTTAAAGAAAAAAAAATAAACACAACATTGCCCTGCTTGTGCTCGGGAGGATTTCAAGTGTGTGCACTATAAGCCGGTAGAGAGTTATTTATAACTCTATCATAAAAAGCATGAAGCAGGGTATTATGGAGCTCTTTCTCCTTTTATTATGTGTTTTGAATAGACTCTGTTACTATAAGTTTCATCTGCTTTCTACTGCTATCGTTTTAGTATGCCTTGAATGGATAGAGAAGGACAGCGAGTATTATTTTCTTTATCCTAATGTTGGTCTGGTACTTTCTTTTCATGAATACATATCTTAACAAAGGATAAAAGAGTTTTTATTCAATTCTATGTTCATTTAGGCACAACGCTTGCAAAGAGCGTAACTTATTCTAAAGCTATAAGTGAGGGATGCTACCGAGGAAGTCTAAAGTAATAATGTTGTCATTAATTCCACATTGGGATGACACAAATTAAAAACATCAGATTATAAAAATCTAACTCCTTCTTAAGAAAATAGTTTAACATTGGCTTACTCTCTTTCTAAAATTAAGACGAGGAGAGCAGAACCACTCTCAAATGTGTGTCTGTTGAATCAGCTAGAGAAAGACAGGACTTGCATAATTGATTGATGTATAATTCTGGGCAAGTTACTGCTTCTGGCTGTCCAGGACAAAGTTTTGGGCAAACCTTTTTAATCTTTCGACAGAACTATACTGGCTGTTTTCTGCTTTCAGAATTTGTATTCAACGGATAGATTGTAAGCTAGGTAAAAGCTTGGAGTCAGTACATAACAGCCCAGTGTTGCCTATAGTGCTCACTAATTAAAATGTTGCCCATGTTTGTCTAATCTGTCTGAGAAAAATGTAACAATATTCAAGTTATGCTAGCAGCTAAGTGACGTTTAAGGTGTCAATTATCAGCAAATGAACATGCTCAAAATGAAAACGCTAACATATTGATGTTTAACAGTTAGAATGTTAATCATGTTTAACCAATTAATTTAGCGCTATAACACTTCCTAATTAGCAATGTTGTTTTGGTTTTATGTGCTGGAACCATATTTTTACAAAAAAGACAGTTGATATAATTACTGGTATGCATATCTTTTTACTTAGGACAGAGGCAGTACAGTAGTTATGTTAAGCTAACTTTGGCCAGACCCCAGTTCTGTACTTAACGTAGATTCATTAGGGTATCAATCTGTCTGCAAAAAGGCAAATGAACATATTTCCCCCAAATGTAAAAGTATTCCTTCCAACTTCAAATATCCTCCTCATAACCATGTATGATGCACTACTGTCTTACACTGCACTTTATGCTGCATTCATACACTTCTCTACAATACTTTTTCCTCTTTCTCCATTTTCTCTCCTCTTCTCTGACGCAGCTCTTTCACTCTGCCTCAGGGGTTGATCCACTAATTTTAGCTTGGCAAAGAGGCAAAGACACAGATGGGACTCTTCTTGTTAATTTCATTTGCAAGTCAGATTTTTTTTTTTCTGTTCCTCTGCTGTGTTTCTCCTTCTCATGCTTCTGCCTTGATCTCCCCTTTCCTCTCCACGCTGTAGACATTCAGCATATGCCTTTTATCTGGCATGCATTGTAAAAAAAACACATGGAGAAGGTCATGAAACCTGCTCCCTTACTACAGTACACTAGTGTGTGCTTGCGTGTTCATGTGTGCATGTGTGTGTTACAAGGAAGTGGAGGGAGGAAGATAGTGTGAGCCTCAGTGGACTAAATAAATAAATATAAACACGGTCAGATGGAGAGCAACCAGACCCAACACTCGAGGCCACACGCACGCACGCACCAACACACACACACACACACACACACACACACACACACACGCACACACACACACACCTCTATTTTCTCTCATTAAGAACATCAACAGATGCTGGACAAGCGCTTGATTACATTTGGATTAGACTGTTAGTGTAACACGGGATTAGCAGACTGAGTTGTTGCCTTGTTCACTGTAATGATCTCACTTACATCCTCATCAACAAATACACAGCAGACAGTCACTACTGTTAATGGTTGATTTCACCCTAAGGACATTGTTAAAAAAACAACCACTCAAGTATTCCTTGGGCTGTTTTGTTGACATGTGTACTTTTTACATCATGTACAAAACAGAAACTAGGGAGTTTCTACATGCTGGATTAAAGCTAGAATTGGACTGAAAAGGCAGCATTTGATAAAGACTTGGTCTGAAGCAGTGGTTCCCTATCTTTGTGATTGGTGACGACAGCACTTGCTTTAAACCCCCCAGCACTTGATCTTTGTTTGGGACTCCCTTGTCATACATGTGTTAGAAGGAGTGAAAACTTTACCAAACACTGATTTAAAATGACAGTAGTACAGCCACAAGTGATGTCACTGATACATTCTCCACCTACATGTATAATACAAAGGTACTAAATACACACTTTTTGTGGGGGCAGGTTAATTAAATAAAAGTCAGTAACTAGCCGCAGGTGCTTAATGGACTTTGGTTAACAGTTGAACTGATGAGTTCTTCTTGTAATTAACTTTCACCCTCATTTCTCTCCTTATCTTTCTTTGCAGTGAGCAGAGTATCTGCCAGGCGCGGGCCTCCGTCATGGTCTATGATGACACCAGTAAGAAGTGGGTGCCCATCAAGCCTGGACAGCAGGGATTCAGCCGCATCAACATCTACCACAACACTGCCAACAACACCTTCAGAGTAGTGGGCGTCAAACTGCAGGACCAACAGGTAACGCCAGAGAGAGATTTCATCGAGCTGTGGGAGGATTGCAACATACACAACTTTTGGGCTATTTTGGAGATTCATAAAAAGTAGTTTGTCTCTGAGAGCTGAGCCTTATACCTTACTGCTAAGATGGTCTCATGCCAATGGCACCATCTCAAAAGGTTACCTGTTATTAGTACCTTATGTTAGTAAATCACTTTTGAAATACTATTCATAGTCAGCATTTTTATGCAAAAGCCATTTCATTTATTTCCAGTCACTATGTATTTACGCAAAATATCACTTAATATGATACATATTTTAAATAAAAAAGATTTGTTGGAGGGATTTAATGTTGATAGAATTGCAAAATATCACTAAAACAACCAGACCATTCCTCATCAAATAATAATAAATACTTATTTACTTATATTATACTTAGTTAATTGTATATTTTGTTTCAAAACAGTGTCCACACACCCAGCATGCATGATAAATAAATGCCAACCTTTTTAATGATGTAACTGTGTCAAAAAAATGAAAATCCATCATTTTTTTCTCAACTGGGTTGAATTATAGTTCATGATGTAAGCCACCTGAAATGTGTGACAGTTTACAAATCCAAAAACTATTACAAGCTGTTCTGGATGTGTTGTTCTGTCTTAACAATCTTTACACACAAATAATTTAATCCTTTGAGATACCGAGAAATCAATTCTCTGCCATTTAAAGGTTTCTCTCTGCCAGTAACACATCCGAGTTATACAAATAGTTTGTAGTGTGTCGTGTTTTATTGTATCTCACCAGCCTGCCATCTGTATATGTTTATCACCACTCAGATAAGAAGAAGGATGCATGTTTAAGATAAATGCAAACCTCTTCTCTTCCTCCTCCCTCACAGGTGGTTATAAACTACTCCATAGTGAAGGGCCTCAAGTACAACCAGGCCACCCCCACCTTCCACCAGTGGCGGGACGCCCGGCAGGTCTATGGCCTCAACTTCGCTAGCAAGGAGGAGGCCACCACCTTCTCCAACGCCATGCTCTTTGCCCTCAACGTCCTCAGTGCTCAGGATGGAGGTGAGTGTCCCCTCAGTGCAGCACATCTTTTGTGCCCACATGGAATAATGCTCAAGAAGCCTAGTATGGATTATTTTAGGAAGAGCTCCCAGACTTATTATCCAAATGACCCTCAGCTTCCCGTCTCGAGCATCAGATTGTATTTTTAGTACTCACATATGGCCAATGTAAACAGCAGATCGAACTTAACTGAAAACAGCTGTGGAAGAGTTTATGTCAGCAGATGAAATGTTTGTCATCATTTCGTGGAAGTTCATTTTCGAGGCAGGTGAACTTAACTCTGGAGTATACCTTTGTTTGTTGTTGTTGTTGTTGTATATTACAACTCTAAAAGGGCAACCCCCCAATAATGGCATACACTTATATTGTTGATGCTGTCTTTTATTAATTGCAGCAGGAAGCCATTGGTGGACTCCTGCTACTATCACACAATTTGCTTTACATTGTTGCTAACAGTTCCCTTCCATGCATAGCATCATTTTTGCACTTTGCAGAATATATTTCTAAATATGTATATTTTTCTAATCATATTAGAGTAATAACATAAAATAACTAGGCTTGTACTACTTCATCAATCAAATACAGATACACTACTGTTAGTGTGTGTGGCATGCTAATGTTTAGAGGGGCTATGTAATGCCCACATTAGCCCAGCTTGGACAATATTACCTATTGATTTTCTAAGGTTTTTGTTAACCTGTCTTTCTGATATCACAACACAATGCTTAGATAAGAAATGCCAAAAACAAATATTAATGCAGGATAATACATTTAAAAATAAATCAAAAAAAAACTACAAATGTGAACTACATTTCCCTTTCCTCAAAAATCTTAGATGTTTTCTGTGTGACTCAGACTGTGAAATATTTGCCCTAAGGAGTAACTTAGTATCAGAGCAGTGGCCATAATGTAGTAGTAGTAGTAGTGGCAGTAGCAGTCGTTTTGAGAGCTAGTCCCCCCTGATGGGCACTTTTTAAAATAAGTCACAGGAGCCTCACCAAATAATTGTTAATGCAGGAATATCATATATCTAGTATTTACTGTACTATCTACCTATTTCACAGAAAACATTTTGACATCTAATTGTAAAAAAAAAAAGAGGAAAAAAAAGATTATCAATGGCATTGTGTGTGCTGGCTCCCTGATATCACTTCCTGAGACACACCAGTAACGAGGGTTGTTAATGTTATTAATTCCACCTGTTTTTCCTGCTACAAGTCAAAAATTGAGTGTATTTAAAGAGAGCGATGGAAACACATGTTATCGAGCCTATTTTATTATTTGTAGCTGTGTGTGTGTGCAAGAGTGTTTGAAGGGAAAAAGCAAGACAGATTTAAATTGGGCATTGATAGAATGAGAGACTGAGAGACAGAGTGAGTGTCACAGCGTGCCAGTCATTACTGGAGTGAGCAGCAGTGTGTCTCCCCCTGCAGTCCCCTCCAGCCTCTTAATTAGAATGAGTCATTCTAGATGGAGAAGGCCTCCCCTGGGTCCCGTGCTAGAGAGCACATCTTTTCATCTGCCTAATAACACGGGACGAGGAACAAAGAGGCTCGAGTGACGGCGGCCAAACACGACGAGCACACAAATACACGAGAGGAGGATACACACACTCGACAGAGAGAGAATGATAGCCTTACTATGCAGCAGTGACTCCAGCTGCATAAATAGATACAATCTGTGTGTACAGGCGGAGCAGCACACACACACACACGCACGCACGCACACACGCACACACACACACACACACACACGCACGCACGCACACACACACACACACACACACACACACACACACACACACACACACACACTGCAGAAAACACATGGCAGAAGATCTGTTTCCATTGCATAAGAAGTTTTCACTGAGCTCTTGTAGCGCATAGATTAGGGATAATGTTGGTTTCCCCTCCATTTTAAGAGGCGTGTCTGCCCCCTCTAGTGGTAAAAAGGTCAAAACCTGACCTCTAGAATAAACACGGATGATTGTGGCAGAAAAAATCTGTGGTAAACAGACAAAATGTCCTTGTTTGATATCATTTCCTTACCCACTTTCATACTGGGTTGGTCAGAAGAGACTTCCTGTCACTTGATATTCATCAGGGACCCATGACAAATGCTGCTCCAGTGCTGAAAGAAAAGACTTGATTAACGTTTGAATATCAAGAGTTAAAGGGGAAAAAAAGATCCAGTTTGATGACTGTTTAAGTCATCAGTCGAGTAAATACACACAAAGGTGTAACAGCTTCAAGTTAACAATTAAGAGGTGTCTTGCTGTTGATGAGGTTGAATAGCCAAATAAATATGTGTTTTAGCCATTTCTATGAGAATATACTTTTATTTCTTGATAGAGTAAATTATCCATTGACTAAGTGAAAAAAACGGATTCCCAAGTAGCTCCTCCACATCATGAGGAGATGTAGATGTTCACTCTGAAGGGTTTTTCATCCATTTCATCTGTGTTTCACGTTATTCAAAAAGCGTAAACCTGGCTATCAGGTGAAATATCACATGTACAACTCATAATTTATTTTAGTGTCACATTTGAATCGGATAGCTAGTTGGACAATCTACATGTAAGAGGTTCATTCTCTCAGCGGGGATGCGTGTGGATCAGCTCGCTGTGACATTATTTCTGTGTGAGTGGCATTAGGCCGCAGCGGCCTACAGACAAACCCGACCTTTGGAAACATTAGCCAGAGATGCTCGCTGCACTGCTGCCGCCCGGAGGTGTGGGTTACCAGAAGATGACAGATGATACTGAGGCTGGGTGGGGGAGGGGAGGAGATGGGGAGAGGCAAGCAGGTGAGGAGAGAGAGGTAGAGAGGGAGGTGATGGAGGGGGAGGAAGGGCAGCTGAAGTTGAGCGATGGTGAGCGGGGAGTGGGTCTGTCAGTGCCTCTGTGTCTGCTACAGCCGCTTCCTCTTCTTCAGCATGTCATGTAGGTACTAACGCTCTGTGTGTGTTGGACTTCTGCATGGCAATTATCATTTCAAGTTTGTGTGTGTGTGTTAGGTCGTGGTGTCTATTGCTACAGCTGTGTGCCCAGTATTATAATTTCATAGTGAAGGCCAAAGTCACAGTACCTTATTAAAAACGTTTAGGATACCTTTTTTATTTATTTCTAAAGTTAAGGAACAGAGTGAAGGAACATTACTTCTCTAATGGTTTCCTTTTAAACGGCTGAGAGTTCAGATATTACTCAAAAATAAAAAAAACTGTTTCCTACATAATTAAGTTCTCTCTTAAATGATCATCTTCCACTGGGTCACTCTTGAGTTTCTGATATCTATTAAGTGACAACAACATTTAACCTAAAAAAAAACGTTGATTTCACATTAGTTGAGTATAAACTAGAGCAATGCCTGTGTGGAATTGATAGTTTGTGTTGGCTGTGTACTATTTGTATTTATATTAGTCCTGATAGGCAATAAGTCAGTTAATTGATACACAGGAATTTTGAAAATCAGTTAATATTTAAGAGATTTGTCAAGCATAACGGTAATTTCAATTTCAACAGATAAAAGAGTTTAGTACAACCCTCAAGTCTGTCATGAATATGAAGCTGCAGCAAAGGAGACAGTTAGCATGGCTTAGCTTAGCACAAAGTCCAGAAGCAGCTAACCTGGCTCTGACAGCACCTCACAAATAACTGAACTGCAAACAAAATGCAATATGTGGATTTTGGAGTTATGTGGCGGTCTATTGCAGTGACATGCTGCCTTGTCACTGTTAGCTGCAGACCATACCCCAACACGACATATTATTGTGCTATTGTCCTATGTGTATAGATCACACAAAAAAGTGAACTTCCATAAATGATAACATCTATTTTAACATTCAGGAAATGTAATGCTAGATATGAAAAAAACAATTAACTAATTATTCTATAGAATGAACAGATCATATTTAGTCATATTTGCAGCCCTAAATGTGTTTGAGAGAGTTTTTTCGGCATGCATGTGTGTGTGATGAGGTATCTGATAGTAGGCTTGAGTCAGGTATTTTGTTATCCGTGTTATTTTGGAGTTTCTGATACCTGATCGATGTCGACCATCAGCGCTTTTGACTGGCAAGAGAGTCACTTCCATTAGAGATGTGGAGAGTGTCGTCAGTTAGTATTGACTTTATAGAGCCTGACTGTATACAGCTGTAAAACTGTCATGAAAATGACCACTCATTAGAGAGAAGAGGTCAGGGTTTTTTGGAAGCACCTAAATGGAGGACACTAGTGTTTGTTTTGTGCAACGTCATGTTTCCATTAGTGTTTTATAGCAAAGGAATCATAATTCAACAATAAAAAGGTCTTTACACTGCAAAGTTGCCCTTCTGCTCCAATACATTAAAAAAGAAAAATGTGAGCTTACATCCTGAACCTCTCTTCTGAAGTGGTTCTCAGGAGAAACAATAAAGATGTATTATTGTCCCGGATGAGTTCAGCGATGAGAAAAGTTTCATTGAAAACGGATGACTCTGATGTGATTGTAATCCCTGTGTTGACGTCCTTTTGTCCTCATCTTATCATGTCTTCAATTAATTACATTCCCTATCTGGCTTTCCATCTGCAGATCACACTTACGGTGTTAAACAGATTACATCCCAGTGCCTTGTAGCTGAAATTAGATCATAAGCAGGGGGGATACTAGAGGGAGTCACCATTCTTTGATATAGCAACTCTATTGTCATTCCTTACATCAGTAAACTGACTTCAAGTCTTGTAACACAAAGAGCTTTTTACAGTATTATAAAAGAATATAAAGGGTAGAAACATGTTTAGAATTGGATCCCTCTAGTATGTGAACTTTGACCACAAAAGCAGATGTTTCAGAAGCTGCAGCGTGTTTTGAAATATCTCGGCAACCGCAAAAGACAGAATTTCGCCTGTTTTCAGTTTAGGGCCGCCTGCTTGGAGAAAGCTGCTCAAATAAACTCCAGACCTTACTCTGTTTTTACTTTTCAAAACACTTAACCCACCAGAAAGTTGTATTTCATCACAGAATATTATTCATGGGTCTCTGGCTAACTCCTTGTGTGTGTTTGTGCACACACACGAATAAAGGGAAGCATCATGTTTCCACTATGTGTTGGTCAAATATCCATAATAGAGCATTGTGGGTAACAGGAGTAAACACATGAGCAGCTCTCACTAATGAGCACACACACTTTATATTACTATGCAAGTGGATGAAATAATTAATGTTCATTTACCTAGAGTGAGGGATTAATCTGCTTTTCACTGCACATTAAGCATTACCTAAGAAAAAGGACACAATGATTAACTGCTGTTTAATTGCCTGCCATTTGGTGGTTAATTGTCTTGACTGACCCTAATTTGAATTAGCATAACAATGCTTGTAATGGATTATTAAGGTCAATTTCACTTAATCTGTGTGTTTTGTCCTTCTCTCTCCCTGCTTTCATCTGTCTCTTTAGGTCCAGCTGTCCAGCGCCAAGTCCAGAATGGACCCACTTCAGATGAGATGGAAGCTCAGAGAGCAAGGTAACATTTCCTAACTGAGCCTAACAGGGAAATTGTTCAACAATATTAAGAGCCCCTGAAAATGGCTTCACCTGATGAATAGGTCCAATATTCACTCTCCTTTCAGCTCTGTTTTGGTTTCCACCAACTCCTGAAGGAAATATCTGTCATATTAATGAGCTAGTTGCTTAACTTTACTGGTGCGCTGTTTGGTGATGGACAGGTAAGGTACCTTGGGTTTTATAAGCTTTTCTGGAACTGGAATAACCCGTATTTTAGATGAAAATGATGGTATGAAACCCGTAAGATTGACCAAAACTGAAAAATTGCAAGCTGTAAATCTGAAACAAATGCTGAAAGAAGCTAAGACGTATAGCTAACAGAAACTGCAGCCTGGTTACATTTATTTGTGGATATTTGACTTCTTGCGATGGCTTTGACATTCACACAGTCTTTGGATACATCGTTAAAGTAAAAGTACAATTATAGCGTATTTAAATATTAGCTAAATAAGCAACGATGATCTTCAATGTCAAAATTTGCAAGAAGGAGTTGGTGGTGATTATTCAATAAGCTTTTGCTTCAACTTCTACTCAATTCAGATTGGACGGAACTACAAAACCCCACCTTTTTCCCCCATTTCAGAGCATTGGAAAGAACTCATACTTTTTCCCATGTTAAGTAACCCAAAAGTATCTAACTGTGGTAGAAAAGTGTGTTTTAATATGACACTAATGAGAGCACAAGATCACAGTGACACTCAAAAAGACTGGATCTTTGAGAAAGATAAAATATTCTTTGCTATATTTAGAGCTTCCCATCAGTGATGAGACATTCACTCGCTGCTTCTGAAATATTAACCAGTGAGTCTTCTTGTATCAAGAATTTGTATCAGCATTTTTGGGAATTATCCCAAAAACAGAAATGAACTTAAGGTGACCTCGAGTACAGTGGATAGGATTATGTTAGCGAGTGCAGCCCATGTGTCTGATACCTTTCACACAGAATGAGCATACACACTCTGAACAGAGATACACAGACAGCTGTTCTTAATGATCTGTATTCATATTCTCTCTCCTCCCTCTCTATTATCCTTCGGCTGGCTCACATCCCTAAATCCTATGGGTAACAGTCCAATAAAGACAGTGCGCTTGAAAAAGAAAAGAGATAATAATTCAAAATAATTTATTTTTGTGAATTGAATTGTCCAGAGATAATGGATGAGTTTCCTAAGCAGTCTGTATTTCTTCTACTGTGGCTACAATTCTCCTCAGAGACAGACACAGTCACAGCTAGGTCTTTGTTGCTGTTTTTAAACCTGTTCAACTCTGCCTATTGGTTCATCCAAAAGCCAAATGCTGGGGATTAAGAGAACAAATATGATGGGAGTTACGACTCTCTCTGATCCCGCGTCTGCTAAACTGAACCTCTGGGCACAAAGGATTACGTCTGTGATTGTGTGGGGAGATTGTGTGCTTGTGCGTGTGGGTTTGGGGTTTGGGGTTTGTGCGTATGCATGGGTGTGTGTGTAAATTAATTTGACTGAGCTCTCTCCAGTGGCAGCATTGCTCCGCTGCCCTGCTGCTCCCCCTGCGTGCGCTGCTGTCAAGTTGTAGAGGTTGCTGGCTCAGCACTTCTCCTCTCGACACACAGCTGGAAAATTCCACTTCCTGTCCATGAGCTTTCTCTTTTCCCTCTCTCTCCAGACAAGTGACATACATATGCTTCTCACATCAAAGAGAGACATGTAATGTAAAGATGGGGAGGGTTTGCTGTGTGTTTAGAGGGGGGGGGGGGGGGGTTGTAAGGTGAAGGGATGGATGGAGATGAAGGAGAGGGTGATAAATGTACCTTATGCTGAAGTGGAAAATGTGTAGCAATGCCAAGACGTTATTTAAACTGTGTAGACAGGTGGGTGACTTTAAGTCATGTTTAGTCTACAAGCTACACAATTCAAAGCTGCTGTCATGGAAACACTAAAGTCGCTCTTAAAATGCAGCAGCTTCAAGATATTGTCGTTCCAAAATAAAGTATGTCAAATAATTCCTGTGTGCTGAGGTCATAAGCATTGTTGAGTTTGTTCTCCAAATATCCATATCTGTTATTAAATGTAACTTTGTTAACAGTGGAATTTGAAGAAGAAAAAAAAGCCTCCCAATCAAGCTAGGTAAACCAATGTTTCCTGCAGCCGGACTTTAAGATTCTAAATTCTGCACTCATCACTATTTTTACATGGAATAAATGTAGAGGTTTACGTGAAGGGACTTGCTTGTAGTGACAAACCCAAAAAGAATTATTTCATGACTCTGCAGTCTGCATTTTAACATCTGTCTTTGATTTGGTTTAACACCTGAACCTTTAATGTTTCAGTTTGGTCTCTCTACTTTAATTCACCTCATTTTCAGCAGCTGGTTCAGCCAAAGAAGCTCTTAAAAAAACACTGTAAGCTACATGCCCAGCAGCAAACAACAGACAGCTAAAGTTAGCGACTAGCTGGTGAGCAATGAACCAGATATTTATCTCAGGTTGGAGTTGGAAACCAAGCTAAAAGGACAGTGAATATTAGACAAGCATAACTGTAAATGCATGTGGCTGCCATTTCAACTCAGAATATGTTTGAGAAAGGAAAAGTAGAGCCTTTGTGCACTGCAATAAAATTGTTTGATTGATGTGTTTGGAGTTATTTTTCCTCTATTTGTAAAAAGTATAAAGAAGAAAACAGCTGTATGGCGTTTGTCAAACTTTACTATATTTAGTGCTGGCTTGTTTCAGCTGTTGCACAATATACCCTGCAGTGATGACACTCACTTGTCACTTTTATTTGGACCTGCCAAGGTTTGAGGTTACCCATTGCAGCTTCCAGGCAGGAGCACTTTTCTATAGCTGTGGCTTTGAGATGGTTGGCTGCACTGTTCTTATAGGATAAAAAAATGACAAAATCACAGATGAGACCTGACATTCGTGTGACCGGCCTTGTTTCCTTTGTGTCGCTTTAGGCAGATGATAGAGCAGCAGCAGCAATTGCAGGCACATTTGGAACGGGAGCGAAGGACGTCCAACTCAGGTACTCACATTAAAGGGGCCCTGTTGCGCTTTTGGGGGGTGTTTCCTTTCCTGTAGTGTGTTATATGGATTTATTTGCATGTAAATGTTCTCCAAAGGCTAAAATCCCAAAGTGTCCTACAGAGTGAGTTCCTCTCCAACACACTCCCTGCCTCAATAGGACTCCTTTATTTACTTCCCTCACATAATGACATCACTATGTAACACGCTTCTATTGGCTAGTGCTCCAACACGTTGTAAGTTTTAGGCTAAGGGGCGGGACATCTCTATGCAGTTGACAATATGCATTATATGTACTTTTTTAAGTTTCACATGTTTGAATACATTTTCATTATCAAGTGCATTTAAACTCAAATACTCACATTTAAATCTTGCCTTCAGGTTCTCCTTTCCAAGGCCACCCTGCTGTTCTCGCCGTGGCCCCTCCAGTAATGCCTCCCCCCATGAACATGGGTGGCCCTCCTCCCCCTCCACCTCCACCAGGACCTCCACCACCTTCAGCAGGGGCCCCAGCACCTCCTCTCCCACCTCCACTTCCCATGTGCGGTGGGAGCGATGCGGATGAGCCCCCCGCCCAGACAGGTCTCGCAGCTATGATCGCCGGAGCCAAACTGCGCCGCGTTCAAAGAGTGAGACGACACTCTGATGTCTTTATCTTCCAGTCATGCATAACTAGATTATCTCCAACTGACCTGACTGACATAAAAGTTTTTTACACATCAGAGAGTATAACTTTTGGACTCCTCTCCCCCTTAGCCCCAAGACGAAAGCTCCCCAGCCGCCAAAAACGATGCCAACCGAACAAGCGGAGGAAGCGGAGGAAGTGGAGGAAGCGGAGGAAGCGGAGGAAGTGGAGGGAGCGGAGGAAGCGGAGGACTGATGGAGGAGATGAATGCTCTGTTGGCGCGAAGGTCAGAGCAATGAGTTCAGAAAAACATTTTGCATGACATCCCGAAGCCAAAATAGTGATATTTGTCATCATCATTTAATCATTGTGTGGTTCAGGATGTTTTAGTGATTATTAGGATTACACTCACATTAGATATGGGAAGAAATGCCCAGTTCTCACTCGAGGCTTCTTCTTTCCCCCAGAAGGAAAGCGGCCTCCGAGCGGCCCGAGGACAGCCAAAATGTGAGTGTCATTTTTTGCAATTCATAAAGCCGGTTGTTGTGATAAACATAGATTAGACAAGCATGTGACATTTTCATTAGATGCTTTTTGATGAAAACAGTGAGGCTAATCAAATCACAGTCAATACGATTACTGCAATGAGGAAAATATGACAAAAGAAAACCTTAAAATGTACTGCTATTAATAGATGACAGTGTATGTGATGAGTATGGTGGAGGTCGCCATGTCCATTAAACTAGCTTTTGTCTTACTGTAGGATGACGGAAATTCTTCGTCACCCAACACCAGAGGTGGACAGAACTCCACAGGTGAGTAACAGTGTGTATATTTAATGATTTGAACATCTCTTATAGTATCAGGGGAAAATATTGATAAATAATCATACGGCAGATACAGATAAACTTATTATTGAAAAGTGTATCTGTATTTATCTGTATTGATGAAGGACGAAAGAGGCCTTTGTGTTTTACAGTCAATTGGACTGATCTGCAGGTATATGTATATATCACCATACTGTATGTCTATGTACAGAACGTATGAATGATCTAAGGGGGTTGTCATTAGAGATAAGTCGTTATCATTTATTTTTACATAATCAAAGGTTCCTTAAAACTCATGTATCTGGGAGCACACATAGAATTTATGTCACGGAAAGTGTTTTAAGAAAGCTTGAAACTACTTTCGGTTTGGGGTCAGTCTGGACGTTTGTGAGAGATAGAGAGCATCCTTGTTTTTAATATCTCTGTCTGGTATGGGCACTTGACTAAAGTAAATAAATACAAGCTTAACCAGGATTGTTAAACCAGACGGGAATATTGTAAGCCGCCCAACAAAAGCCATGACATGACCTCCATTTTACACAGGAAATCCCAGTCAATTATAAAAGACAAACCACATGCCCTCCACCGTTTGAGTTGTATTTGCTCTCCTCTGGGCGGGGCTTTATAATACTTCCGACAAATAAATTATCTAAAAGGGTTCTGTATCCCGAAGGCAAAAAATATGATCAACAAACCACAGTCAACTTCAAGAGTGTATGATATTTACAATGGGTATAAATCTGATGACTGTACAATTAAGAGATGATTTTCTGTCTCTATTCTATTTTGTATCTTCTGTATGAGGTGTTTATAATTTCCCTCACTGGCTAGAGAATAAAACATCATATCTATTGTGTGGAAATGTCCCTTAATTCCTGCTGGTTTTCTGTCTAACACTGTTCCTGTCTTACAGATGGTGCAAAGAAGCCGTGGGACAGAGCTAACTCTGCAGACAGGTCGATGGTTTCCAGGTGAGGACAGGGAGTAGCACAGCTCATTGAATAAGAATGTAAAACGGGTCATCAGCAGCTAATCTGATGGAGAATGATTTTATTTTATCATGCAGGGTACGACCCGTGGGGGGTGGCAGCGACGCAGACTCGATAGACATGGATAGAATGAAACAGGTAAACTGTAAAATACACTTTAATAACTAGACACCTACTCTTTGTCCGGCTACATTGTCCATAAAAAATTATGTCTACTTTGATTAAAGAAAGATGTCATGGACTATGAACGTTTATTTATCAAAGTGTTTGTGGTTCATTAGGAAATCTTGGATGACGTGTTTCGTGAATTGCACAAAGTGAAGGAGGAAATCATCGATGGTATGTTTAATTTTCTCCTGGAGAAGGGTTATCAATCAGCATTTAGGAGCACTGTCCCTCTCCTTAGTCATGTTAATGAATATGTAACTGGAAATCTAACCAGTGGGATGATGGGAAATGGGAAGTCATTTGGAGTTGCGACCACTAGGTTGCACTATGGTTCCAGAAATCAAATAGAAACCTCATAGATCAAAGCCTACAAAATATTTTTGATAAATGGATAATTTATATACTCAAGCGGATAAGAAAGATGTGAGTACATTGGGTTATTACGAAGTGAGTTAGAGTATGATAACTTGATTCTCATATCACGAGTATGTTAATCACATTGTGACCAAATTAATGGTCCAAATATAATATGATTCACTGCTAAATGAGCGGGTAAATTGTGTATCTTAGAATTTGTTCATGGAGGCCTAAATAACCTAATCATTTTGTTTTGAATCCTTAAATGTTAAACTATAGAGACAGTAACACATTTACTAAAAAGAATAGGCATACAATACTAGCACTCCATAATATGAGTTGGAGTCAGGGAATAATTGGCAATATCACGATTTTTCTCTCTCTTTTGTGGATCAAGCTTAAAAAACTGGATCCTACATGTACCATAATGCAATTTGACAGTATATTTCAAAGCCTTTCAAACTCAAGCCAGATTTCAAGTAACAATGACGATGACATATCAGGGTTTTTGGGAACTAGGAAGACATTTTCTGTGTAATAGAAAAATCTGATTGACAATCATTTACTTTCTGTCTTTTTGTATGCACCTGAAACCATAACTTGTAAATATCTGAAAGCCCTGTTGTTCATCAGATTGTTTTGAATAAGACAAAAACCAAAAAACAGTTTTCAGAGGATGTGTAGTACTGCCCACGATGAGTGAACTGAAACCTATACAGCCTATACAGTATGTAAATTGGTAGAGCACTCTTTTAACTTGTCACTTTAGGTCCCATTAAGAACAATGAAGACACGATTGTGTAATGGGTTTTGTTAGAGGGTCATTATCTACCTAACGATCCTATCTTTTCTCTCCTTTTCTTACAGCCATTAGAAATGAACTCAGTCGAATTAGCACGACATAATCTTTCAGAGACCCCCCCC